GAGCATTTCAATCTTCTGCCCCTCTCCCATGACATCCTCTCTCCGGCTTGACTTCAGCTCCCCACTCACTTGCCCACAAAGTTTAGCATGGGAGTGAGTGAGAGAGCAAGACTGGCTGGCACCAGCTTTCATCCCAAGGGAAGGGTTAATCCTACCAGAAGAGTCTGGCTCTCTTTCCCTTTCCCTATGCAAAAGTGTTCTTTCCACCCACTCTGGGAACCTAGGATGTTCAGAATGTAATGGTGTACAGAAGATCAGATGGAAGCTAGCTCGAAGGAATGGTTGTACAAGGAATCTTGAGCAAAGAAGATAATATTTGAGTTGGCCCAGCCTTAATAACCCTGGTGGGCAAAGTGTGGAAGGTGTCTCGGACATGCCTCCTTGTGGAAATCTTTTAGCACATCAGGGCCCTGCATGCGCACTGGAGATGCTCCTTTCTGGCACATGGTTGATGTTGCCATGGCGGCAAACAAGGGCAAACAATAAATATACACTCATTGATCCAGGCCAGCGGCGATGTCCACGGAGAAGCTTGTGTGTGAGTGGCCTTCTCCAATTTCTCACTAGTGGGAGAAATCTCAGTATATGCATCCCTTTTATGTAGAGCTCTCCCTTTTATGGAGAGCCTTGATGAACATGACAGTGTACAGTTTTATACTCTAGAGAGAAAGAAGGAGTGGTTAAACTGTAGAATTCACTGGCAAGTGAATGTAGCGATGGCCACAAGCATAGATGATCCATCATCATGGTCCATCAATGGCCACTAGCCATGGTGACTAAAGGGAACCTTTACAGAAGCAACGAGCCTCTGAATACAAGTGCTAGGAGGCAGGATCAGGGGAAGGCGTTGGCCTCTATACCCTGTTTTTTTGCCCTCCAGGGCAGCTGGTTGGCCATGGAGAGAAACAGTATGCTGGACTAGATGGTCTGATCCAGCATACTCTATTTATATTCTTATGTGCTACTGCTTTTGAACATATAAATGAGTAAAAATCCCCTATCCTATGCAGTGGGGAATAGGTTCCTTTGATCCCATTTAGACTCACCCCCGGATAGAAATTGGCTGAGAGAGTACCTTTGAGCATGTAATAAAAAGTGTTTGCACAGAGTACTTTCCCATCATTATTGCAACAAGTTTCAGACATTTGGAATTCTGAGGATTAAGCCTCCAGGCATACTTGAACCCCATTGTCTACTTTTAAAGATATTAGTCCCTGAAACTTACTTTAATATTTGTCTGTTTTTGCAAATTTAAAGGTATTTCCCCAAAGGGAATGTGCCTTTCCAACCCCCACCCCCAAAAGTCATCATTTGAATTTGTTAAAATGTGTGATGAAAATTAGGTAGTTTTCATATTAGTCGAGGGTTGTACACCCCGACAGAGCAAGTCAGCCTCTTCTATTGGCCCATGCCTTACAAATGCGTACTGGCACCAGCTTTTGAGCAGTGAGGAAAAGTGTCTTCTGAAGTCCTAAAAGCAAAACACCGTCTCTCCGGTTTGGAAACATATCTCCAATGGAACTTGGCTTTCTGCCATGGAGCATCAGCAGGCATGCCAGGGAAATGATTGATAGTTGTAAGGATCTTGCCAAATCTATATATCACTGCAGAGTTGGTATTTTACTAAGCAAGTTTAGGCAAACCTTTGCTAACTAGAAAAAACAAGCTTTCCATTAGACCACTTTATGTGAACATGATTAATACTAGGCTCAAGTTACTGTTCATCCTGCCCTTAAAAAAAGAAAGATTGGGTTAACCACTTGGGCAGAAAGTGCTTTCAAGTCAAAGCCAACTTATGGTGACACCATAGGGTTTTCAAGACAAGAGATGGAACAGAGGTGGCCTACTTCTGTGTTGCAACCCTGGACTTCCTTGGCAGTCTCCAAGTAGTAATCAGGGCCAAACCTGCTTAGGTTTCAAGGTCTGATGAGATCAAGCTAGCCTAGACCATTCAGGTCAGAGAAAGAGCTGGTCAGGGTTGGTCTGTCTTGAAATTGGCCAGGAATTGGGGAAATGCAGATGAACTGACCAAATATAGGGGCCTGGTGGCTACCAGGGCCATCCTAAGAAGAACGGAGCCCATTGATTTCAAGACTTTTGAAAGGTGTAGCTTACCTTGGGATGGTACTGCAATATACCAATCCTATTGAATATTCATTGCAGTGATGATGCACAAAATAGGCTTCATCAGCACAGCTTCATGGCACCTTACATGAGAGCCCCATGTTGCAACTCTATCATGGTATGTTACCTGCCATTTGTAATCTTGTAATAATTAAATATGTCAGGAATACAGGGAATCAATCCATGAGCAATCAGTGGTCCCTCCAAAGGCCAGTGAAGGTAGTGTAGAGGCTTCACACCTGTTTAACCAGAGTCGTGGTTCATGAGAACTTAGCAACTGTAAGCATTGCACGTGGTCCAAGTTGCACAGGTCGCTTTTTGCAAGACCCCTCTGAAAACATGCCAGCCTTTCCTCGTTGCACTTTGTACAGTAGCCAGATGTAATCTATGCCTTGAGTAGTTGCGTAGAAGAGGGAATTCAGTGCCGCTTGCCCTGCAGGGATGAGGAAAGCTGTGCTTTGTTCCCTGGCCTCTTCTGCATCAGATCACCCTGGCACTTGGTATACTCGTGGATGTGTGTACCTTGGGCTGGACAATTTGTGGCCCACAGGAGGCAGAAGAAGCCCAAGGGCAGTAAAGCGTTAAGCACTCCCTCCCAGTTTTGCCTCCCAGTCTGTGCCTCTCGGGTGTGAGGCAAAAAAAGAAAGATGGTGGCAGGGGAAGCAATTAGAGACGTGAGACTTATGCTACTTGGATCCAAAGCTTTGGCACACCCAAAGGTTTTCTTCTTTTCTTCTTGAGTGCTTAGTGGGAACTTGCGGAAGACAGCAATAAGAAAGCTGGAAACCCTTAGTGACGGCTATGCAGTTAACTGCCCTGCTTTCACGGCTGTTTTGCTAGTGTCTTCACAGTTATGCTTCACTTAGTCATTTACTCTGTGATGTTACATCCTCATTTCAGGCAAAGGAGACCAATTTGGTATATGTACTGCCAAAGACCAAGATGTGTCTCATAGTCATCCTTTCTGCCTTGCAATTCCTTTTTCAGATGGATGTGTTCCAGCATGCTTCCATCAATGCTCTTTGTGAACTTGTGTGACAGTCATGGTTTTCTTAGCATCTACTGAACTAGTCTGTTCTATCATGTGCATAAAAAATATCATTCAGAATTTTATTCAGAGCATCTTGAATCACCCTGCTTTTGTTCAGCCAGACCATCTAAGCTGTCAAATTTCTACATGGTGTTTCAAGGGCTGAAGTAAAAAGGTTCAGGTGGATTTGATCCGAGCCATGGCTCAGCCTTGGAATCTCTTCTCAGTGCCAAAGTTCAGCCTTGGACATGAGACATAATTAATGAAAAGCAAACCCCACCCAACCCCACTCCTGTCTACTTCATAGCTGCTGACTCAGTCTTTCCAAGTTTTCTCAGAGACCATTCAGAGAATGTTTGTCCCACCCTCCCACCCCAATAGTCTCACTTAATCTTTAATACAGGTGTATAAATTTCACACACAACCCCTTCCCAAGGCATGTGCAGGTTGGTTGCTGAACGACATGCACTAAAATTTTAAGGTATGTGTATGCCACTAATTTACAAAGGATTCCTGCTAGCGTAAGGATAAAGACAAGGAGGTGGATCCAACCATCCACCAGGTAGCTTTTCTCCAGCCTAACGAGACTTCCTCCAACTTAATTGGCTCTTCCTTTAGTGGAAGAACCACTTCAATTGGAGGAAATTTCCTTGGGTTGGAGGAAAGCTTCAAACTTTGGACAGGGGTAGGATCCACCCCACAGACACTGCCATTCTGTCATTGCTGCTGACACAAATACAAAAAGACATAGATCAGGAAGCAATTCTACATGTA